TAAACCATCAAGCACGAATACTGATACTAACTCAGATATTTCAGTTTTTCATACTATCTCACAATTCAATATCCCTATTGTAGAAACACCCGACGAATTTGCAGACTCCGAACCATCTCCCTCTACCTATAACCAGACCAACTTTTCAGTTTTTTCAAAGCCCCCTTTTCAACCCATCCCATCCAGTCATCCACTCCCATCCATTTCCACTCCTTCTTATGCTTCCCAAGTAACCCCAACCTATTCTCCACTTCATTCCGACAGATCATATAATAATTTCCCAGATACCCCCCAATTTTCCCAGGAGCTTGATAATTTTATTACTTTACAACAACAATTAATACACCCCAACACCCTTACAATAAATCAATTATCATCCACAATAACATCCTCAAATCCACCTACCCCCACACAATCCTCAGCTTACACTCCATCATTAGCAAAATTATCTACATCCACCAAAACACCTACCAGTAATCACCGAGCTTATCGCACTTTTAAACGAAAATTTCCAAATCACCCATTCCCAACCAAACCCGGAACAGCCCGCGAATATATTAATCATCCGGAACATACCAACACAAAAATACATTAATTACACCTACGAATACTAACGACACACGCAATTTTATTGATGAAAACGTTTTAATGCCAACACTTCATTGGACAGCTTATTATAATTATACTAACCCCCTCTGCCTACCATTAGCTAATACTAATGAAAGTATCGAGAAGAACAAAAAATTGTTATATAGACTCACCACATCACTAACACCTCGACAATTTACTTACGTTGGATATAAAAAATTATTAAAAACATTCACCGCACCCCGAGCTAACGATTTTGCAATAGAAAACTACGATCATAAAATCATCCGCCCTAATCAAGATCAATTTTTAGATGAAAACCGCTTCGCAAACCCGCAACTAACAGAAAAATTTTTCATTAAAACATCGTACTTATTCACACTTAATATTTTTTGATACAGAGCATGATCATATTATTTCAGAATCAATAGTTGATATTCAAGCATACGAAAGCTTCTATGATAAATTTCAGTTATTTTCACTAACCTTTCACTTTCTTTCACCACAGGAACGCAATTTGCACTGTTCCCACGACATTATGTTACGCACTAAACAAACTCACGCATATACATATTAACGTTTTGAACAAAATCGTTTTGATTTACACACCCCATCAAGACAACCTCACCATCGTTTTCAGTTTCTTAACTCAAAATACACGTCATCATTTTTTCTTAAGTTTACATATTGCATTAATGATACTAACTTCTACGGCATCCTCCGCAACTAGGACCCAGTTACCCAAATGTATAAATTCTGTCCCATCACAAAGACCTTCAATGCTGAAGAATCAAGACCCTTCCTTATCCCGCATGAATTTATCCAACCTATTGAAATACCCATATTAGAATTCATTCACAAAACTAATTATAATCATAAAATATATAACCTCATCCAAAACACACCTTACGAGTTCGCAGTAGGCACAGAAGAACTAAACACCATCAAGGCACTTCAATTGCTTTGGCCACTGCTACAAACTAAAAATATCATACGCATACTAGTCAAATTACTAACAACATTAGACATGATTCACGACATCTTCCCCCACGGATTTTTCCCAGAAGATTAAGGTAAATATAAATTAAAATACTTTTAACTAATAAATTTAAATTTGTACTAACCATTTTCTATCAATGTTTGATTTATTCTTTTAGTCTTCACACCACAATCATCTACAAAACAGAAAAGAAAAATAAAAATACAAACTTGTTAAATTATCTTAAAACTCATTAAATTCTTGCACTAAAAAACGTAGTAAAATTCATACCAAATGTATAATTTTGTTTATAATTTATTTCACCATGAGGCAGTAAACTTGAAATACGATGAAAGTTTATGATTTTAAACTTCCCCAAAACGCAGTAAAATTCAAATTCTATGCAGTAAATTGATAAAATGAGAAAGCAGTACTGATAAAATGAGAAAGAAGTACTGAGAAAGCTTACGTTGGATATAAAAAAATATTAAAAGCATTCACCGCACCCCGAGCTAACAATTTTGCAATAGAATGCTACGATCATAATATCATCCGCCCTAATCAAGATCAATTTTTAGATGAAAACAGCTTCGCAAACCCGCAACTAACAGAAAATTTTTTCATTAAAACATCGTACGTATTCTCACTTAATATTTTTTGATACAGAGCATGATCATATTGTTTCAGAATCAATAGTTGATATCCAAGCATACGAAAGCTTCTATGATAAATTTCAGTTATTTTCACTAACCTTTCACTTTCTTTCACCACAGGAACGCGATTTGCACTGTTCCCACGACATTATGTTACGCACTAAACAAACTCACGCATATACATATTAACGTTTTGAACAAAATCAATTTGATTTACACACCCCATCAAGACAACCTCACCATCGTTTTCAGTTTCTTAACTCAAAATGCACGTCACCTTTTTTCTTAAGTTTACATATTGCATTAAAGATACTAACTTCCACGGCATCCTCCGCAACTATGACCCAGTTACCCAAATGTATATATTCTGTCCCATCAAAAAGACCTTCAACGCTGAAGAATCAAGACCCTTCCTTATACCGCATGAGTTTATCCAACCTATTCAAATACCCATATTAGAATTCATTCACAAAACTAAATATAATCATAAAATATATAACCTCATCCAAAACAAACCCTACGAGTTCCCAGTAGGCACAGAAGAACTAAACACCATCAAGGCACTTCAATTGCTTTGGCCACTGCTACAAACTAAAAATATCATACGCATACTAGTCAAATTACTAACAACATCAGACATGATTCACGACATCTTCCCTCACGGTTTTTTCCCAGAAGATTAAGGTAAATATAAAATAAAATACTTTTATCTTATAAATTTAATTTTGTACTAACCATTTTCTATCAATGTTATATTTATTCTTTTAGTCTTCACACCACAATCATCTACAAAACAGAAAAGAAAAATAAAAATACAAACTTGTTAAATTATCTTAAAACTCATTAAATTCTTGCACTAAATAATGTAGTTAAATTCATACCAAATGTATAATTTTGTTTAAAAATTATTTCACCATGAAGCAGTAAACTTGAAATACGATGAAAATTTATGATTTTAAACTTCCGCAAAACGCAGTGAAATTCAAATTCTCTGCAATAAATTGATAAAATGAGAAAGCAGTACTAACTTTTTCAATATTTTCATTCATTCGCACAAGAATTCTATCCAAACTCGCACAGCTCGCCCACAAAAAATTAATTAAATAATGATTTTGAGTTTCAAGTTTTCACTATCAACAACACGATAACAAGTTTCAAACTTTACTTTAACCCGGTTGGAAAAGAATTATACACTAAACCTAACTAACCAACGCAGCTTACTAAACACCACAAATCATAAAATAACAGCATGACTAAGAAGAGAAAACCAACGGTATCCAACGGATAAACCCAGCTTAAGACTGGATAATTTATTCTTTTGAAGACAAACCCAAACTTGATTTTTAAAAAAAGACACAGTAATGTTACCAAAGTAACATAAGAAAAACCAGAAGAAAACAACATAAAACTTTATCACATAACAGGACCTCTCAAAGAAACAGCATGAAATCATACTCCCACTCCTGGCCTAACCCATTAGAGAAGGACGTCCTGAGCATGCTTATAGCCGGCCTAACCCACCGCGCTACATCCACGCTTTGTGGCCACGCTTCAAATTTTAATAAGAGGTACTCAAGGGTGAGTAACTCTTCAAAATAACTGAACTAAAACAAAACGCTTTTGTGAAAACAACTAACTAAGTTCATGATTAAAAAACCAAATTAACATAAATTTATAGAATGTAAATCATACTTTGCAGTATATAGATCATACACAACAACAAAGACGAACATCCAAAGACTCTCGAACAAAAGAATGGCTAAAGACAACCGACCTGCCGTCCACAATCACGACTCAAAAGATTTAAAGTACGACTTGACTTCACAGAAAAGGACTTCATTGAACTAGACCAATGACCACCTCGATGCTCAAGTATACGTACAGATCCGAGTTACAAGGCATCTCTTCCACACACGATCTTCACGCCACTCCCAGACGAGGCTGCACACAAAACAGTTCTCTACTAATACAGAAAACTTGACATAGCAAACCATTTTGAAACCACAGATTGATTTCATTGGGGATCACAGTCGTTGTCGAATGACGTAATAACAATTTCCTATCCCTAATTCCAGCGTTCTGGAACGTTTTACTTCAAGAGGAACCGGATAAGAAAATGATGTTCGCCAAATACCAACGTTCATCATCCATCCTTCAATTGCAGAGAAGAAAGATAGTTCTAAATGGGTGGAACCTGATCTAAACTACCTTTTATTATTGGATAAATTAGATATTTTACCACTGTAAAGTATTTAATATTAACCAATCATAATCCATCTAACTAACAACCCACTTATTTGTAAGTGCTGAAATTACTTGTAATTTCAGCACCAGAGAGATTTGAATTTAACTTAGAAATTAGTCACCTCTCCAAGAGAACTTCAGCAGTCGCAATAAGCCAGTATACTCTAGATCTATTGAGTCTAGCAGAGACTAGTTAAACACCCTGAGACTAGTAGATATAAGAGTAAGATTAGGATCGGTATTAGACTAAGAAGTTGCACGAATCTATCAGGCCGAAAATAACCCTATCCGAAATTACTCTATGAGTTAACCTCAAGGACCTAACTCATTACAGAGAAAAATTGCTAACTTTTTTCCCGCTCTTAAACCACCTCGGCAGTCTCGCTGCCTTTTGTCGCCCTCCCAAGTTTATAAATTTTATCAATAATTGGAAACAATTCTTATGATGAAAAATTGGCCAGTGATTTATACGAAAACACACAAATATGATATATTAAGTTCATAATTATTCCGTACGATAACGTTACTCATTTCAGGGTGTTTTCTGAATATTCCCGATGATGACGGAACAGCACTGATGGTCATCCAAATTGACGACGACCCAGGTTTTTGATGTTTTAAGCTACATTCTTGTTGTTATTTAGACATATAGTTATTTTGACATATTATAGCTTCATTTTGATTTCTTTATTATAACTGTTTTTCAGACGAAGAGAATCCCAAGTCAGACGATGCTCCAATGTCAAAAAGAGACAAGTTTAAGCGAAAGTAGGTAAATTGAGAGACAAGCCATAGACCATAAAAGAAGCAATTCGATTAATTCTAAATATTTTCACGTAGAAAGTTACGAAGCTAATCAAAAAACATTTAATTCGTTTCTGAATTTTACTTTCGGACGATTGGGTCCGAAAAACAAAATAAATGAAAAAAAAACAGAGTCATCTGTATAAAACTTCATTTAAGAGATTCTATCAATTCATGCTAGTTATGCTATCAATTTATGCTTCATTTTGGGATTCATCATTTTTTTTTGAAAAAATCGTTTCTACTCACAACAAAAAATTCAGGAAAAACGTAGGATAAAAGTTTTCAATGGCGTAGAACACAGATTTGTCGGACTGATATATCCATGCTACGAATCATCTGAAGAATAGGCTCTTCTTCATTGATTGCTTTTCCGATGAATTTGTTTTCTTCCCGTATTCTTCGAATTCTTTTCCGTATTTTCCCGTCTTTTTCGGAGTTATTACTTCAACTTACTGAGTTTTCTTCCCTTTTTTCGTTAGAATGTAACTAAGTTATAACAGTTTTCTATCTTCTGCAATGTAGGATCAGTGAGATGAGCACTTCGAAAAATAACAAAGGTAACAAAATCAGTGAGAGGTTCCCCCAGAAGTCCCAACAGAAACGACAGAGGGCACGCCTTGAAAGCGTTAGTAGTCACTGAACAATTGTCATTTTTAACCAGAGGCGAAACGGGGCTTCGTGACGTTTGCGATACAAAAACATGTGCCAGAAACCACAGTTTACTTGCAACATATTTCAGTAAGCATTACTTTCATAGTTCAGATCATTACAAAAGTAGGTACGAAGCAAATGAGCCATTTTTTATCCTTGTGCATTGTAGAGACTCACTTGACTAACTCCCCGGGTCGAGATCCCGCTCAAAAACCGCTCAAGATATGAGCGGTTTGAGCGGTTTTGCAGCAAGATTTGAGCGCTTTGGGCAGTTTGGGCAGTTTTTTTGGAAAAACCGCTCAAACCGCTCAAATCTTGCTTAAAAAAACCGCTCAAAAACCGCTCAAAAACCGCTCATTTCTTGCGGTGATTTTTGAACGGTTTTTCAAGCAAGATTTGAGCGGTTTTTGAGCGGTCTTATGAAGAAAACCGATTAAAACCAACAAAAAGGCCTGGAAAGGTAATGTGACCCCGGTTTGACATTCACAAACCGAAGATGCTTTTTTTAAATTTCCCCACACAGAAAAAGCTTATCATACAATTGCCTGCATCAAATGTATGGAAAAATGCTAATCATGCAATTTTCATACAATTTCAAAAAACCATTGAAAAAAGATTCAGTCTAGTTTCTCCGGCTATTTGAACCAAGTACAACAGTCTGGTGATGAGAAATAACTACGTTTCTTTTTTTTTTAAATTATGAAAATTATGAAAATTATGAAAATCCATATATGAAAATTGTATGATAACCATTTTTTCATGAAAGGCAAGATTTTCAGAAATTGTTCATTCAAATTTTTTTATAAACAAACTTATATAATTTAAGAGTACTTTTGGTCAATTTAAAGGACTTTGCTCATCAAAAAAGAAAAACTAATTTCAAGCTAAAAAAATAGTCATCATACATTTTGCATATATGAAAATTGTATAATTAACATTTTTTCATAAAAAGCAAGATGTTCAGAATAATGTTAAAACTTGTTTTTAATCAAATTTAAAGTAAATAGGAGTGCTTTTGCTCAAACACTTTGCTCATCAAAAACGAGGTTTTAAAACCAGGTTTTTTGCTCAGTTTTAATCGTCACAAATTGTTAGCTTACGACGAGTAAAACTGAGATCTCGAAGGTCGGAGCCACAAAATTCTTCTTTTCCGAAAATGACTCGGGGTAGGTTGGGGTTAGGGTTAGGTTAGGATTAGGGTTTCTTAAGAATAATTTCACAATTTTTGGAAAACAGAATTGAAAAAAAAACCGAATTTCTAGCCGCAACTATTCTCTTTGGATCAAATCTGAATAACTGACGCAGTATTCGTCTTTGTGAAAACTCAACAGGTTTGTCCATCCATTTATCAAGTGATACTCATGTTTTATCTCATTTTTTTGAGAATTTGGGCCAAAAAAACGGTTTCGAAAGTTTTTCTTCTTTGGAATGAGATAATTGTCATGATCTTAGAATATCATGATGTCATTGAACTGTGATATCAAACATTATCCAGGAGAAACAGTTATCACTTTTTAATTGTGGATTGTTTCTAACGGAAATTTTGCTGTTTGATTATTATATAATACTGTAAATATCACCAAATTGTTCATACTGATCAAATATACAACAATCACTAACCGATTAGTCCAGCTACTACCAACAACGAGAGCTGTAATAATATATAATTAATGCTTAAAACCTCGCTTTTACATGTATCTCAAGTCCTGACCTCTAAGTCATCATTTGGTAACACGAGTGTGGGATTGCCATCAAAGCGATACAAATTCATGCGGAAGAAGACAAAAACAAGAATACGGATATTCTAATTCATTAAATCCTGGCAATTTTGAGGAGTTTTGCATAGAGCTGACGTCTTCTAACAGCCATCATCACCAACGACGAAGATGGGGCCAATTCAGGATACCCCAAAGGGGCGACTACTGAAGAAAAAGAAGAAAAAAACCCACTCAAGGGTTGATAGCAGTTATTCTAACATCCAGAGACAGAGAAGATTGTCTACAAACGGAAGCAGCCATGTCATTTTCATCGACATTGTCTTAGACCAACTAATCAGTGGTTTTTTCGACCAGTGAAAAATCATAAACCGTAATTTTTTTTAAAGAGTAGTTGTGTCGTAATCTTAGAAAATCATGATGTCATTGAACTGTAATATCAAACATTATCCAGGAGAAATAGTTATCACTTTTTTATGTGGATTGTTGCTAAAAGAAATTTTGCTGTTTGATTATTATATAATACTGTAAATATCACCAAATTATTCATACTGACCAAGTATACAACAATCACTAATCGATTCGTCCAGCTACCAGCGACAACTATAGCTGTTATAATATATAATTAATGCTTAAAACCTCGCTTTTACATATATCTCAAGTCCTGACCGCTCAAGTCATCATAATAATCCCGGAATTATCATTTTTTGTTCAATTTTTTCAAATTTTTTCATTCTTTTTATTAATATGTGGTTTCTTGCAACTCATTCAAAGCCAATGAAAATCAAAAAAAGATGTTTTTTATACAGGGATGAACAAAAGGCTAACAAATAGCCAAATTTTTTTTCCTAGTCACAATGTTTTGTTTTAGGACGTAACAAGAAAATGAAATTTTAAGCTCTGAAAATGGTACTATAATAAAATTGTATTTCAAGAGAAGCTCAACTATACCAATTTTTTTGAAATCCAATAAGTTTCCGTAGAGAAATGATCTTTTTTCTGCTGCCAGTCATTCTGTTGTCAATATTTTCTTTCTAGGACTCATAAGTTTTGGAGTCAGTTTTAACATAATTAGATTGTAGTTTCAATCAAAAGATCATAGCTAGAGCTCTCTAAAGCACTCCAGTTTTTTTTGCCATTTTAGAGAGAAAAAGATGTTTCCGACTAATCGCAACTTTTGCGAAAATTGACTTTTATTTGAGTTTTTCCTCGTGTCTTTGAAGTTTTCCTTTTTACTGAGGAACGCAAGGTAATTAGAAGCTTAATTGTGTTGTCGAAAAACAGAGTAAGTGAGTGATTACGATGAACCTATTGTAGTTTTAGTTTCTAAGAAAACATATTGAGAAGCCGTACCAGAAAACAAAAAAGTTTATGCTAAGTAGCAAAATAACACATTGAATTTTGCAATTACATATAAACAAAATTTCAGTTTGAGCAAACGAGGTAGCTCTCGGAGCGACTTCAGAAGCAGGTCTAGTATCAAAGCACATTAAATTGCGCTGTAAGCATTAAAAATTGGTTTAGTTCTATTTTTTTAAAGATAAACCCAAAGCTTTAGTTTATGCTTAACTTGCTAAGGATGTTCAGCGGAATATGATCTGAATTTTCGCTTTCAAAGGCGTTTGTCACCTGTAAACATTTATATATGATCAAAAAGAACCTTTGCATGATTAAAAACTGACGTTTACACAGTTTTTCTTTGTACATGTTTTTCAACTAAGCACTTAGGTTAGGCGCTTTTTGTGCTTACTCGACCCAAAAGTGTTTTTTCATAAAAACAGAATTATAAGTATTGCATATTATAAAAACCATGATTTTTTGACCTGTTTGATAATAAAAGCTATCAGTCAGTCAGTCGTGGGCTATACTGTCTTCCAGTACCCGTTTTTGCTTGTTTTGACCGGTCTTTGAATTTTTTTCGCGATGACCTCCATGCTAGTTGACTATCCTTATATGGGAACACGCCTTGAACTCAATGTATATTGCAGCTAGGATGATACAACTTTGAGGTTAAGCGTAGATTACACCAGTGTTCATGATGTTAGCATCATGAGTACGGTTAGAATAGGTTTAGTCAGGTTTTTTTGTCAATTTTTGTTGTTACAGGTCTTTTTTTTAATGAGTTTACATCAGTTTTTTAGGAAAAACTTTTCGTAGAAATGACGAATTTGAATGGGAGTAATATCATTAATTTGTTCTTGAGCAGGGCTTTCTCCTAGTACCCGATTTTATTTGTTTTGGAAAGTATTTAGGAAAAAGATATGCATATTTATTAGAGAAACGTTAAAACCAGTTGAAGGGCTCGATAAAACTTGTGATATCTCATTGTAAATTGAAGCTAGGATGATAAAACTTTGAGGTTAAGCATAAATTACAACATTATTGATGATGTTATTATCACATTTACTGTTAAAGTGTTTTCAATTACTTTTTTTGGTCATTTTTTGTTGTTACAGGATTTTTTTTGATGAGTACACATCAGTTTTTTTAAAAGAACTCCTCATAGAGATGACGGATTCAAGTGGGAGGGTTATCATTAGTTCGGTCTTGAGCAGGGTTTTCTCCTAGTGCCCGAGTTTGTTTGTTTTGTTGAGTATTTAGGAAAAATATAGGCATATTTATTAGAGAAACGTTAAAACCGGTTGAAGGGCTCAATAAAAAATGTGATAACTCATTGTAAATTGAAGCTAGGATAATAAAACTTTGAGGTTAAGCATAAAGTACAACAGTGTTGATAATGTTTTTATCAGATTTACAGTTAAACGTTGTCAGTCACTTTTTTGGTCATTTTTTGTTGTTACAGTGCTTTTTTTTAATAAAGAGTATACATCAGTTTTTCAAGAAGAACTCGTCGTAGAGATGACAAATTTAAGTGAGAGGGGTATCAGTAGTTCGATCTTGAGCAGGGTTTTCTCCTAGTACCCGAGTTTGTTTGTTTTGTTGAGTATTTAAAAAAACATATGCATATTTATTAGAGAAACGTTAAAACCAGTTGAAGGGCTCGATAAAAGATGTGATAACTCATTGTATAATTGAAGCTAGGATAATAAAACTATGAGGTTAAGCATAAATTACAACAGTGTTAAAGTGTTATTATCAGATTTACAGTTAAACGTTTTCAGTCACTTTTTTTGGTCATTTTTCGTTGTTACAGTACTTATTTTTTAATGAGTATACATCAGTTTTTTTAGAAGAACTCGTCGTAGAGATGACGGATTTAAGTGAGAGGGGTATCAATAGTTCGGTCTTGAGCAGGGCT